CCTCCAGACTTTGAATCTGCTTCTAAGCGACCGGTCGCTCGTGTGCCTGCGACCGGTCGCAAAGAACTAGCGACCGGTCGCTCTTCAGTTTAGCTTCCAGACTTCGAATCTGCTTCAAAACGACCGGTCGCAAATGTCCAGCGACCGGTCGCTTTTAGGCAGATTCAAAATCATCCTTTGAGCGCCAAAAAACTTTGTATCCTTTTAGGTGAGCCATTTTTCCAACATGAAGCACTGGCCAGGTGCCATAGACGTCAAGACATCCAAGGCCTCCATAAAAGTTGTTGGATAGCAGAACAAGGACACGCAAGGTGGACATGTTCATTAACAAGCATGGAAAACTATCTGTTATATGATTGTTTCCAAGGTTAAAAACCTCTAACCATCTGCAGTTACCTAGAGATTTCGGAAACTGACCACTCAACTGATTTCCACCGAGCTGTAGAATTTGTAGTATAGAATGTTCAGTAACTTCAAAAATAGAAATAGTTCCAGTAAAGTTGTTTCTCGCTAAATTAAGTACTCTAAGATAGCCCATTGCAGTCAAGCATTGGGGAATAATGCCACTCCGAGAATTATTGGACATATCAAGAATTGAAGATCACTTGAGGCATTGCATATTGATGTTGGAATGAGCCCATGCAAGTTATTGCACTACTACAAAAATCGCAATAGACGACGGGAATCCACCGTCGTGTAGACAGTTTTTAAACCGTCCGAAAATCGACCGCCATTTTTTGCTGCATAAAACCACGACGGTAAATTACCGATGTTGTTACAACATACTACGTCATCTCTAAATAAAAACTGACGTCTAATTGATATAAAAACAGCAAAAAAGGCCAACTTCAACAAGATTAGATGACGCTTTTAGAAACTTTGCGTCATATGCAGGAGATAACATGACACAATTTACCCATGTCCCGACGTAACACAAAGTAACCATGACCCGAAATATTAAGCCTTGCAGAATCCCTTCCACGACGGTACATTAAAATACACCAACGTGGTTAATAAAGATTCCACGACGCTTATGCTACATACCGACTTGTTTCACAACCGACGTGGAGTAGTAACAGCTATAAATATGGAAAGAATGTAGTTATTAATATCTACGACGACGCTATTATTTCACAACCGTCGTCTACAGTGGAGGAACCAGACTTTTGTTCATCTGGGGGCATAAAAAACAATTTCATAGCTGACTCCTACAAAGTCTAGATTTTCATAGCAATACGATATATGTTATAACACATAATCTATTTCAATAATTTTTTAATATATGATTTTGGGCCAAAATCTAAGGCTTTATATATTGGACCACATCTTATTAAGTCTTGGGCCTTGATATTTTCAATGTAGTAGAGGTTTTGGGCTAAAACTAGGCCTGGGCACGGTCCGGTTCGGCCCAATTTTGAGTCCAAACTGGAACTGGAACTGTACTGTGCATACAGTCCGATCCGGTCCGGTTTTTGTACAAAACTGATAGTAGAACCGAACCAAACCAGACTAGTTACAGTCCGGTTCGGTTCCCGGTTCTGAACGGTTTGGGCCTGCTTGAAGGCCCATTTGAGTTTTTTGGGGTTTTAAACTTTAAAACAACCTGAATTTTTAAATTGTTGGGCTTACATCATAATTGGCCCAATTTTTACACCACAATTGGCCTAAATACTAAAACTTTTAACAAAACAAAGACATAAAATGATAAGTTCAGCAGTTATCAAGTCTGCCAAATTAAATTACAGCAAAGTTCAGCAGTAATCAAGTCTGCCAAATTAAACTACAGCAAAGTTCAGCAGCAAATTACACAAAGTTGGCAAAGTTGCAGCAAATTAAATTACACAAAGTTGAGCAGCAAATTAAATTACACAAAACAAATACACAATTGGCTCCATTATGTCATCCATTATCAAGTTGCCAAAAATTTGAGCAGCAAATCTCATATCACAAGGTTTACCAAGCTTTGCTCTAGTTGGATGAACTGCATTCATTCAAACAAAATCTTAAATTAACACAATTATTTTCTTGTTTTATAATACCATGGACAGATAAAAAACATACCTCAAGACAGAAACCACACTCAAACAACCATGTAATCTCATTGGAAAGTTGCATGAGTTGAATTGATAATCTAATAAAGTCCTATATTACTAAGTATGATTATTTGGTGGAATTAAAAAAGAAACAGCAACTGATATGTATACTTAGCAACAGGGCAATGTTTGAACACTTGTCAATATGTATGCAATGAACTCGTCAATATGACTGATCGGTTCATAATTGTATATCATTTTGTACCCTTCTAGCTTATGATTTGGTTATGTTATTGAGTTAAACTTGTGCT